GGGACGTGAACTTGCTCTCTTTTTTATGCGACATTAATTTATTTTCCAATTTTAAAAAGCTTGTATGATTGTTAATACTTCTTTCATTGAACGAAACGACATCTTTATCTTAAAAGTTTATTATTTTTTTAACAAATGACATCATTAAATATTTTTTTTCGCATTTGAATAAAAAGATTCGTAATTTAAAACTTGCATCGGACGTAAACCTACATTAATCTATAGTCACACATAACCAATTTAGTAACAAAAGAAGTTTAAAAACAGGATTAATATATCATATATTCCCTTGATTATTTCAAAGCTAGTTAACCGTAAAATTAGTTGCCTGGTGCATCGTCATGCGCTGAAAGCCTACGCTAGAAAACTCTCACAAAGTTGAACCTAAAACATTATTGCGTTAGTTATTCCCGTGCGTCCATGGGTCATTGGGCATCTGCAGGGGCATCCACATATAACTTTTTATATAGTATATAATTTAAATATATAGATCCAAGTCAATTTTTCTTCTTACTAATATTATTAATGCGGACATTAGATGGTTGGATGTTTGTTAGAAGGTATCTCCAGAACGGCACAATAGATCTTGATGAAATTTGGGACAGATGTAGCCTAATTTAGTCCTCTTTTCCTTCCCACCCTTTTTCTTATAAGGAAAGGATAGGAAGTGGAAGTGGACTTTCTGGATCAGAGGATGCATGGAAAGGGAAGCTATTTTATTACTGTGTAGCCTCTCCTCCGTCGATTAAAGGTAGGCTACGTATATGCAATTTCGTATGTCTATAGGCAACGGTCACTTCGCTCTTTCAGCTATTGCAGGTGGCCACTCGCTCATTTGCCACTTTATGGTATAAAAAATGTAGAATATACTCTGGCAGAACATATAGGCTACTTCTTAAATTCTTTTTAAATTCCGCGCGTACGGAGTCGCGAGCGACAGCTAGTCTTCTATAAAGGGTTGACGTAATATTTCTTAATAGAGCGATAATAGCCGTTTCTTGAATAATTTAGGCAAAAATTATGGACTATGCATATTTCATTTGCTTTTTTTAGTCGCTAAAGCGCTTCATTTTTTATGTCGCTAATTACGACTAGAGGGGTGGATTGTACGTGACCGTTTGAGAAGCGTTATTTGCTGTTTCATTTTATTCTTTTAGTCTTTTTTTTTAATGTATCATTCATATTAAATATACATACATAGTGGAACGATTCCCTATGTTTTTGTTTAGTAGAATAAATCTACACTAAGCTGGTGAATCAATAAAATTATACATCTCTGAGTACGGTTGTTAACGGTGAATTAGTGGTATAGAAAATGTAAAGCAGTTTCTAACCGACAAGCTATTACTGAGCTAAATTTCCGTATTTTTATAGTTTTTCGGTAGTTTTTACATAATTAAAATATTTAATCACACGACTTATAGGTTTCAAGACCTTAATTTCTTATATAAAACGTATATTGTTATCTTTATTTAGTCAAAGATAATAAGACGATAACGATATGTTCACACAAGGAGTAGCTGTCGCCTGCGACTCCGTCCTCGCGGGATAAAAAAAAACTTATAAGTAGTTTATGTGTTCTTCCAGATTACTCTAGATATGTTTGAGATACCGGAGATACCTGCATACATCCATCCGTCCAAACATTCGCATTTATAATATTAGTAAGAAGTAAAACATTACATATCGGTCTCGAAATCAACGATAAATTAACTATTTGCTTTTTACCAGATACAATATTTTTCGAGTCATTACATTAAAGACGAATACTATGGTAATAAGTATAAATTTACTTTCAATATGTATTACTTACAAGCCTCTCTGAGTACAAATTGCAGACCACAGCTAAGAGCATATTTAATCATCGATAGCCACTATAAGTTATGCCTTCCGGGTACGGAACCTTAGACCCCGGCTTACCGTATCAAAAGCATAAATTCTTTGCAATTTCTTCGTTGCGTGATCGAAATGTCTAGTTCCACTTTCTAACACGCGTGAAAGGGTTACACTGCTGGCCAATATTAAGTATCCGGCATATTTTATAATTATATTTCGTTTTATTTTGCTTTTTTTCTAGATGGAAATAGACATATCAAGTATTAAGCACTTGACTTGTAATCTGCAGGTCCTGGGTTCGAATCCCGCCATGTACCAATGTGTTTTTAGATTTTCGATTTACATATGTACATTTATCCGACGTTCTTACGGTGAAAGAAAACATCGTAATGCAACCTGCACGTATCTGAGAAGAAATTCAAAGATATGTGCGAAGGTAACCAACCCGCACTGGGCCAGGTTGGTTGACTATGGCCTCGTCACCCTAACTTAGGGTAGACTCCGAGTTCCTCGGTGGGGACGTAGATCATCATCATCAGCTCACTAGCTGATGATGATGATTTCTAAATAAAGTAACCCTAAGAAAATAACAAGATTTAATAACTGTAATTTTAACAACAGGAAGCGATAAAAGGCACAGAAGGATAAATTAATTGTTTATAGCAATTAAAACCATAAATTCGACTCTAGACATATATTTGTATAAATAAATCTCGGTATATTTTCCTGTTGTCTGGCTGAAAAATAAATTTAATTATTTCTAAACATATAAATGATAAAAATGTACATTTTTCATTAATTGTAAATAGAAGTTTTTGCCTCTATTTTCCTTCCCGAGAATCATTATGTCTGAGGACGTCGATGCACACGGACGTATTTTTGTTATTGGTTAGAAGTGGAATTAATATAAAATGTTGGTCAACATGTGGGGATATAATTTGATGCCAAATACAAGATTTGTGCCAGAGGTAATCTTAATAATATTATAAATGCGAATGTTAAGAAGGATGGATGTTTGAAGGTAGCTCAGGAACGGGTGTATGGATCTCTCTGAAATTTGGCATAGATGTAGAACCTAGTCTGGAAGAACGAATAGGCTACTACATAAGTTTGTTTTGAAAGTGAAAAAAATAATGTGACGAATATTTTAATTTTATGAAAGTTAAACTTTTTTATTCCGTTCACAAACTCGTATTAATTATCTATACAATTGAATTTTTTCTTTAAGTTCTTACATAACTCAAAGGACTAGTTTCAGTATGGTTGTTATTTTGTGTACAGAATGTTTTTTTTTACTATATTAAACATGGCATTCTTCTAAGGAATATAGAAACTAAATTTTTACTACTAAAATGTACAAAATTAATTATGCTCAAAGAATAGAATAACGAATACATCCTAATTTGATTAAAATATTTTACCAATAAGGAAGTAAATAAATTATTGAAAATTAATTTTAATATTTTCTTTTAAAATAAAATGTGGTTATTTTTTGTGTCCATCATTATACTATTGCGTGTCTAAAGCAGTTTCTTTGCAATCGCAAAGAACGAAGGGTTTTCAATAAAATATACCAGCGCGTATAAACAGCGGAGTCGAGATTGTGCTAAGATTACATTTAACATAAATGACAAGTGCTATAAAACTATATGTGTAATCAAATGATATTTACGAATATCGATATTAATGTGGACGAATAGTGTTGTCTCTTCGGTGCATCGATTTAATATCGATAAAAGTAAATAGTTTTGACAACCCTATTGTGAACTATGAGCCAAAATAAATCGCCTTCGATCAATTTCGTCTGTAATTTTTAAATAAACTTTGGCTTTCACAAAAAAAAGTTCTTTTTTGTACTTTAATTTCATAAAGAAATAAGAGGATTGTCATCTACCGCGCTTCAAATGTACTATTATTAATAACCGTATATGAAGTCTAACAGTGGTAGAGCCTGCTTTAACATCTTCGCACGAATTAGTCCGGCTAGCTTGGTGAAATACCACGACCACACAGAAAACAAGCGTCAAGTGGAAGCAATTCCACGTGCAGTCTGATGAGTGTGCGTCCCGGAGGCCTAATTATAATGAAATATTTTATTTCTGTGCATCCTCTCCTCCGTCGATTAAAGGTAGGCAACGTATATGCAATTGCGTATGTCTATGGGCAACGGACACTTCACTATTTCAGTGATTTCAGGTGGCCGCTAGCTCGTTTACCACCTTATGATATAAAAAAGTCGTTACAGACGAAATTGACAACTTACTTCACTTAGAAGTCGGTTAAAAAATTTGTTCGCAAGTTTAATCAAGAAATTAAAAGTAAATTTTAGGGTTCATGTTAGGTATTTTAAAGCGAAAGCGTTATTTAAGTAAACATAACAATAAATATAAAATGATAAAGTAATATAAAAAACATATTTTCCCCATTTCCTCATTATTACCGAGTACTTTTACATTAAATTATTTATTATTAAATTCGATAACTCTATAATTTACCTTATTTACCAACATACCTAAAAATAACATGCATAACACCTAACTAATAGCCTATAAAAAACATAACGTGTATGCTAAGTACAGTATTAAATAATATTAAGTCCCTATAATTCCGCCTTATCTGACTTACGGGTCGAAAGCAATTTCTTTGCCATGGGGAAATTATAGGACGCCTAGTGCGAAACTTAACACCAAACACATATAATGTGGGCTACACACGTACCGAGCGGCCGGAGATATCGCGCCCCGACGGTGTACAACCGCCTTATTTACTTGTCACATATTACGTGTCATAATATACATAGTCAAGCATAACTTATACTACAAAAATGAGTTATTTGTTGGTTTTATTAATTGAATTAACGTACGCTTTGAATCTGACAATTATTGTTATATTGTATATATGTATTGTGTTCTATATAATAATTGATACATAAGTCCGTCATTTTATAGACACGGCGATACTAATTTCATCAATTCCAATAATTTAACTGTCACAAAAAATTGGTCAACTAAATCTATATTTAAAATTATCTATATTTTAGACCTAAAGCGCATAAAATAAGCGAGACAAATATAAAGATGACTATATCGTTGTATAACAGTTCTAGTCCTCATATAACGTCACATCATTCAACCAACTGGCAATCAACTATCCCCTTGTTGCAGATCTTCATGCACAAGAACGCAATGCAGATGCACGCACGAGAACTGCAGCGTGGGCTGGGGGGCGAGGTGAAGCCCCACCAGTGCCAGCAATGCCTAAAATCCTTCAGCTCCAACCATCAGCTCGTCCAGCACATCAGAGTCCATACCGGAGAGAAACCATATAAATGTTCATATTGTGACAGACGCTTCAAACAGCTCAGCCACGTGCAACAACATACTAGACTGCATACAGGTTAGTTGGAATGTTTTATTTTTAATTTTCTATGTAACTGGCCAGTATCTTGTTCAGTTTATTTTTAATTATGAAGACAAACGTAACCATAGAGATCTAAATGAGTTCATTGTCAAGATTATTTTAAAAATAATAAAAAAAATATTCAATGAACCCCTAATCATATAATTAGATAAATACAATCATCATCATCAGCTAACTATACATCCCCACCGAGGGGCTCGGAGCCTACCTTAAGTTAAGGGTGACTAGGCCATAGATAAATACCAAGCTAACTACAGTTCAAAAAATAATCAAATACCGTTTCGTTCTTAAGTAAACCAAGAAAATTTTATTATTATATTTTATAATTACTTGTTAGCGTCTAAATAAATAAATGATTCGAGTTTTACTAATTTATACATTTTCCTGTTTTAAAATGAAATAAAATAAACACTCCATAGTATAAGTAAACATATAAAATATGACATATAAGGTAAAGTATAAGACTTATTTTATTCGTCGATACAAATGCATATATCTTTTTTATTTATAAAACAAACAACATGCAGACTCGTAGTCAAGCGCTAGTTTAAACATTCTATAAAAAATAAAAAAAAAGCGCGCGAATCGCGACACCAGAATTCCAAATTTAAAATCGTCGGAGCGTTTTAAAACACGTTCGCGCCGAGAAATAGTTTCGAATCGAAATTAGTAGCGGCACAACGCGCTGGAACAACTTTTATAATTAAAAACTACGTAACACCATTGGTGCGAGTTTCCACGGGAAAAAACTCGCGATGCCGTATACGTGAAAAGCGGGAAAAAAAATTCGTCCAATGGTCGCTTGGTGCGCTGCGAGCGACCAATAGCCCCGCCCGTTTAACCAGAGAACGTAAATATACGTGGCTTAGAAAAAAAAATTCACGTGTTTTTTCCACGTTCTATCTAGCCAATGGGCGGCGCTAACGGCTTATTCTTATGCGCATCGTAATTCCATCGGTTTTGTTGTATATTTTTTAAATACAACACCGCACACTTTATGTACTTCCCGGTCGTTAAACGAGGTTTTATGTTGTTTAATCTAGTTTATGTTTTATTCAAAGGTACTTATAGATTTATCGGATTATCTTATTTTACTATCATTCACGCCTACTTCATTATGGATGATTATTTTTTTCCTCACTTGAGATTCTATACTTCTAGCATTTGACTACATATTTATTTATGAATTAACAACGTTAAGTTGATTTAAAAACATTTAATTTTAGACTTTTTTAATTATTTTTTTTTATATTATAAGGTGGCAAACGAGCGAGTGGCCACCTGAAATCGCTGAAATAGCGAAGTGACCGTTGCCCATAGACATACGCAAATTGCATATGCGTTGCCTACCTTTAATCGACGGAGAAAAGGATGCACAGAAATTTTAAATTAATGTAATTGCATAAATCATATAATTACTTTAACTAAAATCACTATCTTTTAAAATAATTCTTTAAAAAAAACACTTAAAATTGATAAAACTACAAACATTCCTAACTATATATTGCAAGTTTCACTTCATATTTAATATTATTTTCAACAATCTTGTTATTATCAGATATATGAAGTGAAAAACAAACAATGAAATACTTTTTGCAAACAAAAAACATAATAACACGACGTTAACCAACGCAGTGCTGCCAGTACTAATTAAATATTTATAATCTATGCCCGCTAAATGCTGGCTGTCGGAATAATGAATTTTTTAATCATTGTAATTGTTACCTGCCAGTGTCCACACTAAACATGTCACCGGTCGACTAGCGGAGGGGGGGGGGGGAATTTTTTATTCAGTAGCGTTATACTGTTATAACCTATTTCTTTTTTTTAATTACAGAAAAATAAATATTATTCATGAGAATAAAATAAAAAACTTACTAATAGTAATTAGAAGATGATTACATTATTAGTTGTATTTTTTAATTAAAAATTCGTTTTTTAGTAAAAAGTAGTAGTAAGCGTTGTTTTGTTTTCGATCTGCTATTTTTTTTAGTATAAGCACAACATAAAACGAATTCAACTGAATATTTTAAATACTCTTTTAAAATTAGGACTAAAAATTCCAACATGCTTTCGCATCAAAAGAAACTGATAAGTTTGAATAGATACCTAACCAAGTACTAAGTAATTATGTATTTCTTAAGATAAAATAATATGACTACAATACGCACTACACTTTGTTAACTAATTACATACATGCACTATAATTACGAACACAGACTTTCTATGCCCTATCATGAAACACTAAAGACCAGCAATTAAACGAATAAAATTCTATTTTAAAAACTGTATTAGTAAACTTTCCTTTGTTTTTTCCTCCTTTACACAATTATAAATCTGGCAATATATTTATAAAATAAATATTTAATATAATATATATTTGGCTGAAAAAGCCTCTTCCTTTTTACGTATCTGTCAGAACGTTCATTAAACTTTAAAACAAATAAGAAACAATTAATTGACTTAATAAAAACACAAGTTGTCACTTTCTATTAATTAAGGAGTAAAAGAGAGTGCTGTTCGAAAAATAAAACCCAATTTGAATATAGAAACAACTTATTCCATTTCAATTCACGCAACTTCGCAAACGCTGGCCGAATGGAAAAACTTGAGGCGATTGGTGTTTTTGTTTTTCCCGCCAATTATTTTCGACGAGTTTGCATGACAATGGGACAAAAAACCTTACGATTGTAAAGGCCTTTTCTCGGGCCGTTCACGACTTGTTTAACGGTAGAATAGGAAATGCGATAAAGGCGAGCAATCGTTTTCTACAACCAGTGTTTCTAGCGAAATGTTTCTTTCATTGTTTCTTTATTTTATTTGCATTTGTTGGGGAAATTTGTAACAACATCGTAGTCACCATGTTTTTATTATTAATAGAAGTAGCCATAGATAATGGAAATAGAAAACACTAATATTATTGTCAAAATCTAGTGCAGTTCCTTAGTTCGTTTTTTCTTACTATTTAAAATTAGTTTGTCTAATTGTGTTGAACTACTGAATAAGTAATGAGTCCATCTCAAACATGAAATCTCCAGTTTTTTATCAACGTCTCTTTCTTAAATGCTGGCAAGTCCTTTAGTGTTGCGGATGTCCATAGACGTCGACGACCATCACCTTTTCTAATTAAAAAAAAAACTATTTATTTATTAGGGAGTATAATTAACTGAAGGGAAAATAATCAAGCTACTTCTATGGTTCACATAAGAAATCTAATAGCAGCTTATGTAAAAATGCTACATAATCTAAATCTACCCTACCTGTCCCAAAGGGATTTGGGATTTCTTTCGTACAGATAGAATTTTCCATTAAAATTTTTTCGAAAATAAGATGGATTACGTTACTCGTATTACATGTTCCCAAAGGAGCTTAACTTTATTGTCCCCCTTTCATTTTTGAGGTTATATTAAGGGTTATCTACGATTGTCTATAGCTGTCAGTACTTCCACAGACTATCCAAACGCATTAAAACTATCGTCATCTCTGTTTTCGGAGAGCAAATGAGCGAGATGGGAATATGTCTTTTATAAAAGTTAAAAGATAATATTTTTTTAGTTCATTTTTTTATATTATGTTATTAATTAAATTAATATGACTTCATAGAAAATCAAATTAGAATATTAGTTTTAATGCCAGGCTATATGATTAGTAATAACGTTTTAGGAAATATAAAATCAAATATGGCGTCGGTGGTATCGCTAATCCGTTCGGATATTGCATTAGTTTAATTTGAAGGAAATGCATTTTAGCGGCGCGTTGCGGTTAACATACGCAGAGCATTTCCGAACGTAACAAATCTTATCTAACCTTTTTATTTATTCTCAATAATTTCATATAAATATGATCGCGTCTCCGTTTACGAATTAAAAAAGTCTTAATTTGTAGCCTATGTTCTTCCAGACTATGTTCTACATCTTTGTCACATTTCATCAAGATCCGTTGCGTCGTTCTGGGGTTATGTACTAACCAACAAACATCCATCCAACTAAACTTTCGCATTAATAATAGTAAGAAGAGAAATATGTGTAATGTCTAATCTGAAACAAAATGACAAAGACCAACATTTTTCGCCAAGGAAAAGGTCATTGACCTCTTTACACGAGTCCCGACTTGTATGTTTAACCAAATCTTTCCGTATATTTACTATTGTAAGATAATAATCACTTTTATGAATAGATAAATTAAAAACATGACTACAGGATGCATATGTATATGTAAAAGTACATATATGTTACAAGAACGACTCCAACATACTAAATAGTAGAGTTGCTGTTGCGTAAGTCATTCCACATTAACGACTGACTCACCATTAGCAACATAAACTTCATTTAAACTTCCACCTCTCTACCTACACCAATGCTAGCCGGCTTGAACATGCAAATGAACCTACCCGCGACCCGTCAGCATCATCGGCCTTGCATCGCGGCGTCGCAATGATTCTATTGATTTTCACGAGTGGGGTATCCTCCCACCCAACCTCATCCCACGTACGAGATAGACCCCAACCCCCTATATACCCACATAAGTGCGCGATACTGTAAATACTTGCCGCGTGTCAGCCCCCAAATGGCGGGAAACGGTGCACAACTATTTGATAAACGCGCTTCGCCGACCAAACGCACTTACGTATACATTACAATGACGTCTGTATTCGAATCGTTTTACGTAACTGAAATGCATTTCAAAAAAGGAACGTAGATACAAAATCATTATATAATCTATGGTATCAAATACTGGCATAAAATATTCAGCGAAATATTTTTAATCTGTCAACATTTTAAGTCTATAGACGAACGAAAATACCTAAGTAATGTTATAGGGTAGGCATAATAAAATCAGTCTGCCACGACTAAATTATGACTAGGAGCCATCTAACTGTAGAATTTCCTTCACAAATAGTCTATTGCTTTTATTAGTTTGTAGACATTTCTAGTGTAACATTGTAAAAGATTATGAGACAAAGAAAAAACCGTCCG